GACGGAAAGAGGCAGCCCGAGTCAGCAAGCGGCAGGGGCTGTGCGTGCTCCAAGGCGGTTGCGGAGGTCGCGCAGGGGTTGGCGCCCAGACCCGGGCTCCCCATGGAGGCGCCTGAGCTGGGCCCGGGGCTGGTGGAGCGTCTGGAGCAGCTGGCGACGTGTCCGCTGTGCGGGGGCCCCTTCGAGGACCCGGTGCTACTGGCGTGCGAGCACAGCTTCTGCCGCGCGTGCCTGGCCCGTCGCTGGGGCAGCCCGCCGGCAGCTGGCACCGAGGCGCCCCCCACCGCCTGCCCCTGCTGCGGCCTGCCCTGCCCCCGCCGCAGCCTAAGGTCCAACGTGCGCCTGGCGGTGGAGGTGCGGATCAGCCGCGGACTGCGGGAGAAGCTGGCCGAGCCCGGGGCCCGCGTGGGGAGACGCCGAGGTGGCCGCATCCCCACCATGGGTTGCCTGGACCCGCAGGGAGAGGTGAGGCGGGGGTGCGCCGTGCGGGTCGCGACCGACGGGTGGGAGGGGGGATTCGTGGCATTTCCCGCAGTGGGCGGTCAGGCGAGGGCTGTCGTGATGGAGCGGCCGGGGCTGGCTCTGGGTCCTCCAGAGGAGAGGCGCCACCGGGGGAAGCAGCTGACACCTGGTCCAGAAGGGAGGAGGCTGGACGGGAGCCCGAGTCTTGTGAGAGGAGCTGTTGAGAGACGGTTCAGGAGGCACAGGCGGGTTGGGACGGCGGTTGGCACCCGGAGACCATGGGTGCCCCCGTGGAGAGCGCGGGAACGGCGCGAGTAGGGGCGGGGCGGCCATCGGGCACCCAGGGGGACCGAGGGCCGGCGGCGGCCGAGGGCGGAGGTGGGCAGGGATGAGTGGGGGGCGGCGGGGAGGTCCGAACCAGCGCAGAGCGCGGGGAGCAGACGGCTCGGGGAGAGCGGGGACAAGGCTGGAGTGGAGGTTGAGGAAGGATGAAGGGAGAGGGGAGCAGATCCGGACGCCCCCACAGCTCGTGGCCCTGGGCCGGGACTCGGGCCCCAGCCCAGCTGAGTTGCTGTTGTTGTTTGTTCTCGGCTCCTCCCAGGTCCCGGGGCAGGGGCGGCGACAGGTGGCGGCGAGGTCCAGGCCTCCAGCCATTGAGTCCCCTGGCTCCTCGCCACATCCCAGCCTTATCACCCACCCACCCCTCCTGCCCCTCCTGGGCCCCGTCTCCCTGACCACCAACCAACCCTGTTCCCTTGTCAGACTCCCAGGCGTTAGGGACGCCCGACCGAGTTCTCCCCAGCAGCCTAGCCGGGCTTGGGTCTGGCTTCCGTCCTTTGAAGTCTTCATAGACCTAATTAGTCTGGATGTAGTTGGCATAATAAGGCAAACTGCCCTTCCTCCGCCCTCCCCCTCCCCACCACGCTGGCCAGCTCCAGCCGTCTTCCCGGGACAGCCGAGCAGGTCCGTGGAGGGGAAGCCTCCAGCGCCCTCTCCTGGTCCCCGTGGCTCCACTCGGATCTGTTGAACCCCTTGGAACGCATCCAAGTCCAGCTGCCTTCCTTGGCCAGGGTAGAGACACAAAACAAAGGACCCAATAAACGCCACTGGGCTTTTATGACAACAGGGGAAGCAGCTTTATTGTAAGGCTTTTATATGCCAGCTCTTAGTGCTTGGGCTTTGAGCGTGTATTTGGTCTGTGTGATGGGGGTAGGGGGACAGATGATTGGATGCACTCAGAAGGTGGATAAGGAAGGGGTCACTGAAGGAGGCAGGATGGGGCTGGGCAAGCAGGGAGGAAGGCAAGGACTCTGGGAACAGATGTGGATAGCGCTAGGGGAAAGGAACTGATAATCTTTGGAGAATGGAGAGCGGAAGAAGCGGATAGTGGAGGTGGAGTGAGGGGAATGAGGAAGTTATGAAAGAGGAAGGGGGAGGGGAGCAAGAGAAGAGGTAAGCTGCTGTGTGGGGGCAGGGAGGACACCATCAAAGAGGACGGGGGAGGTGGCCCCATACCAGGAAGCCTGAGCTCACATCCATGTTTGTTTGCTTGTTTTTTGCCCATCCCAGGAGGTGAGGAAGACATGGAGACGGTGAGTTCCATTTTTTTCCCCCCATGACCAGCCACCATAGTCATCACCTTCCCACTGGGCACACTTCTCTGTCCCCACTTTCAAGTGGGTTTTCTGGGGTGTGGTCTCACCTCTTCCTACCCCAGGATGTGAGTAGGGCAGGGGTGGGGGCATTGGTATCAGAGGGCAGAGCACTGTCTGTTTATGTACTGACCCTTCTCTCTCATCTGTCCAGATTTGATGTCCGAACACCCAAGTCATCAAGCTCAGAAGAAGAGCTCCCTGAAGATTACCCAGTAGCCAAAAACATGCTGCACAGGCTGGCCGGTGAGTGACAGTCTGTTAGGCTTGCTCCCTCTTAGTTCCCCTTGTGTTCCATCTGTGTTAGCTTCCTAGGACTGCTGTAACAGAGTGGCACAAGCCAGGGTAGCTTCAACAACACATGTATTATCTGGAGGTTCTGGAGGTAGGAGTCTGAAATCCAGGTGTTAGCCAAGGAAAATCTGTTCCATGCCTCCCCCAGCTTTTTGCTTATACCTGGCCTTCACACTGTCTTCCCTCTGTGTGCATTACTACGTGGGTCAGCATTTCCTCTTTTGATAAGATGGTGGTCATACTAGCTTAGGGCCCACCCTGATGACCTCATTTTAACTTTAGTACTTCTGTAAAGACCCTTTTTCCAAATAAGGCCAGGTCTGAGGTATTGAACACTTCAACACATCTTTGTGTGCATGTGTGTGCATGTGTGTGAAGTGACACAATTTAACCCATAACAATGCCCAGTCTGGAATCCTCATATTCCAGCCATGTTCAGACCGCTTTCTTTATCCTACGCTCAGACCTGGAGGTTAGCTGCCTCCCAGGAATCTCTGCCTTCACCACCCCCCACCACTCCTCTCCAGAAGGGTCCCTGGAGCCCACCACCCTCCCTGCCCTGCCTTCCCTGCTCACTCCCAAGGTTGCCCTCAGTGCCTCTCTGCACTGCCTAGAGAAGATATTCTACCCTCTTGGTCACCCATCATCCTATCTAATCCAGATTGATTCTAGAACCCCCAATCTAGAAGTCTTCCTTCAAAGCACTCTGTACATACAAGGCCAATGGTCCTTTCTGGCCCCTTTGACTGTCACCAACTTCTCTCTGCTGGACAACCCCTATAGAAATAGACCTGTCCACCCACACCTGTTCCCGTGAGTGGGTGGGCTGGTTTCTCAGGATGCCTTGGATTCCTGCTTCGGTCCCTCCCTGCTGTTGCTTGGGGTTCCAGTATCAAGTATCAGTCTCTGATTCACCTGCCCCTTGCAGCTGACCCAGCTCCTGCCCTACCCTAGATGCTGCAGATTGAGGTATCAGTCCTCACTCCTCCCCTACTCTCATCAGACTCACTCTTCTCCCACAAGCCAAATGGTCCTTTCATCTGTGCCCTGGGTCAGCATAATTCTTCTCCAGGTCCAGCTGTACAAAAGCAGGGCATCGTGCGCAGGTCCAGGTCTTGCCAAGCCTGCTCTTCATATTTGTCCCTTTTTGGTCTCACAGCTGACTTCTGAGCTGTTGCAGGGTCTCTTAGGAGTCCTGCACTAGTAGTCTTACCCTTCTGGTTCAGAAACCCCTCTCACACTGTTCTCTCTCTGCTTTCTCTTCCCCAGCTGACCTGACCCTGGACCCTGGCACCGCACACCGCCTCCTGCTCATCTCTGCCGACCGCCGCAGCGTCCGGCTGGCACCCCCAGGGACTCCTGCGCCCTGTGATGGCCCCGCGCGCTTTGATCAGCTCCCCGCGGTGCTGGGCGCGCAGGGCTTCGGGGCGGGCCGCCACTGCTGGGAGGTGGAGACCGCAGACGCAGCCTCCTGTAGAGACTATTCAGGGGAGGACGAAGACGACGGGGAGAGCCGCTATGCCGTGGGCGCGGCCGGGGAATCGGTGCAACGCAAGGGCAGCGTAAAGCTGAGCCCTGCGGGGGCCGTGTGGGCCGTGGAAGGCCGTGGCGGCCGCCTGTGGGCTCTCACGGCACCGGAGCCTACCCTGCTGGGTGGTGCCGGGCCCCCACCACGGCGCATTCGGGTGGACCTGGACTGGGAGCGAGGCCGCGTGGCTTTCTACGACGGCCTCTCGCTGGACCTGCTCTTCGCCTTCCAGGCGCCCGGTCCCCTAGGGGAGCGCGTCTTCCCGCTGTTCTGCACCCACGATCCCCGAGCCCCGCTCCGCATTGTGCCAGCGGAAGGCTGAGCGTCGCCTCCAACCCTCTTGGTAGTTTGACCCAGCCATCCTGGAGGTGGAAATGATTCCAGGGATCCTGTCCATAGGCCCATTTGAGTACAGATAAGCACCCCTGCCAGTACACATTATCTCCCCCCACACACCCAGGTAAGACCTCAACCGGCCTCAGGTTTTCCACATCCATGCCTAAAGCTGAATTCATTCCTGCTCCCTCCCTCTTGGGAATCTCTCCTCACTGCTGAGCCCTCCCCTTCTACACTGTTCCAGACCTGCACTGGGGGAAGAAGCCCTTATGCCCCCAGGATTGATAAACGCCCTGTGATTACTACAGAGGCCTTGCTAGTCACACATTTAACTCCCACTCTTGCCTTGTCCAGCTCCAAAGAAGGGTTCAGTGCCTTCTCCAGAGTTCTAAGGCTTGTGTTTCCCCCCTGTGCTGTCCACTCTGAGGTTTCTCTTCAGGAGACAAGAGGCTTGACTGAGGGCTGGGCCCTAGGGCCTCTCCGATGCTTAAATACCCTTTAGGGTGGGGAACTGAGCAAGCCAGTTCTAGTCTACCTTCCTTAAGTGACTTCTTGCTGTGCTCACAGCCTTTTCCCAATAAGCCTCTAAAACTTCTTCCTGCACATACTCTCAGAAAGGAACCAATGGTGCTACCTCTCCGCTCCTCAACCTGGGAATGGTCCAAACATTCCCAGACTCACCCTTGTACAGTCTCACATCTCTCCCCATACATAGAAATGGGCCCGTATTTAACACATTTTGCAATGTTGGGTTATTTATTTTGCGCATCTGTGGCAATAAACGAGATCTCAGTGGTGGTATGGATTTGATTGATCTCTGATAACTGTGCATGGCAAGAGGCCTGGAAAATGATGACCAGATCCCAGAGTAAGGGGCAGGGAAGGTGGAGAGAGCGGGACATTGGGGCTGGCAGACATCAAAGCCTTGGAAGGAAGGGGCAAGAGTGCAGTACAGGGGACACACACTCATCTCCTTGCATAGACTAGGGACCCTGCGACTATGTTGTACCTCTCTCTGAAGCTCAAAGACCACAGGCTGAGGAGATAGTTGGCTCTAACTGACCTGTCTCAAGCCAGCTTTGTCAGAAATCCTAACTCACATGGCAATTGTGGGCACAGAAGACAAGGCTATTTTCCATTAGAGGTGAGAAGAACAAAGACCTCTCTCCTAATTCCTCTTGAGTGCATGAAGTATAGGCAGGAGGGGAGGGGCTGGAAGGCCTGAGGTCTCTCACAAGACCTCATATCCCACAGGCAAGGACAGAATTGGGTTACATAAATACTTTAGTAGAGGAGCTCTAAGCCAGAATTAACAAGCATAGCTAAGGTGAGATTGCCTGGAATCTGACTGGGACCCTGGCAGTGAAAGCTAAGACAGTTGGAAACTCAATTTAAGTATTTGGGACTCAAGTTGAGAATGCAGGGGGCCAAGATTACTGGATCCCAGGACAGGCAGTTTGGCAGTGAGAACAAAGGGAGGAGACTGGGACCAAATGCCTGGATCCCTGGAGAGAGGAGGGTGGGTATTGAGAGGAGAAATGAGGGCTGAGGGAAACCCAGAAACCTGGGTTCTGGAATAGCAGCAAGTCAGAATTCCAGGATCCCTGTCCACTTCCTCTTCCTTTTCTCTCTATCTGGTAGAGAATAGGGAAGGAGTGGGCTGGAGAAGGGATGAAACCATGGGTTTAGTCCCCAAGTAGCCACATGGACACATTCAGGGCCAGACAGACACAGGAATGGTGGGGGAGAGAGGAATTTAGTGCTGCATTGGCCCTGGAGGGGGTTGGGAGGGGTCAGGAGGCTGGGGAGGGGTGCTGGGAGTCGGTCCCAGGGCTGCATGACGCCGTCCTCTGCGATGGCCCCGTACACAGTGTGTATGACCACAGCCCTCATCTTCCTCCTCATCACTCTCCGTGGAGCTCTCACCAAAGGCCCGAGGTTTCTCATAAATACAGCAGCCTGAATGTGGAAGGAGGAGTCCAGTTAAAAAGGAGAAAGAGTAAAATGTATAGTGCATTCCGTTCCCACTGGATTTCAGTGGAAGTAGCGACTTCACTGTCTTCCCCTACCTTCCAGGATCCAGCCTCTCCAGGCCTGCTCCCTGGTACTCAGGCACCTGAACCCACTGTCCAAAATCCCACTTCTCTAACCTCTGGTACCTCTTGCCTTTAGGCCTTGGCACATCCCAGTTCTAGCCCCTCCTACATCTTTAACTTCCTTTTCCTGATGCCAGAGAACCACCAAGAAAGTGAAAGGACTATGACCACCTGAGGGCTTCTGCAAGGCCAGGAAATGCAAGAATTCCATGGCTTGGCGCTGGCCATGTGATGCAGTGGATGAAGCCTCCACCTTCGACACCAGCAACCCATATGAGCACCAGTTCTAGTCCTGGTTGCTCTACTTCTGATCCAGCTCTCTGCTAATGTACCTGGGAAAGGAGCGGAAGATGATCCAAGTAATTTGGACCTCTGCTACCCATGTGGGAGACCTGGATGGAGTTCCAGGTTCCTGGATGGCCCGCCCCAGCCCTGGCAGTTGTGGCCATTTGGGGAGTGAACCAGCAGATGGAAGAATCTCTCTCTCTCTCTCTCTCCCTCTCTCTCTTTTAAATAAATACATATTTAAAAAAATAAAAACATCCCATGGCTACTGTGGGCCCACAATTACTTACATTTTGATGAGCGGCGTCCCATATGTTCGTTGTCCACAGTGTCACTTGTCCATTCCACCTTCTTCTCTGGCTTCCGTTTCCGAAGTTTGATGGTTAGGCTCCGGTTCTCCTAGAAGGGTAAGAGGGATGGGCATACCTGTCTAGCTCCTCCTGACCCTTCCCCTTCCCACTCCCCTCCTCACTTCCCCAGCTCAATCAGTACCACAGACACAGAAGCAGAGGAGCTGAGTGCTGGAAGAAGACAAAATAGCACGGGTCTGGACAGAACAGGCCTGTGACCTCACTAAGTCCCTTGAGGAATAAGTGCTATTTCCTATTCCTGAGGACTATTTGCATACACAGAGACACAATTCCTAATCTAGGGAAGGTCCCAGCAAATCTTCAAAGAAAAGTAGAATCCTTGCTGCTTCTGTCTTCCTCCCCAAAACATCCTTGGTGGTATTAATACATGAAAATTATCATCTCAGTGCCTAATCTCTGCTCTCCCTCTCTTTTTCTGGACCCTTATTTTTTCTCACTATAGAAGGACCTACATTCTTATCTCTCCCGTCTTTAAGCTCAGGCTCCACTACCTGTCATCCACCTATTTCCTAGCATCCTGGCATCTCTGGTAGTGACTACTGCTGAACTACCAATTCCTAAACTCCCTTAATCCAGACGTTATTAAGTCCAACGCAACATTCTCTCTTGGAAAGCCATTTAGCTTGTTTGTACCAAAACGCAATTTGTTTTTCCATCTCCTCTTTCTGATTTCTCAAAACACGATCCCGTCTCTTTTTCTTGTTCCTTCACCCCCTCCACTTCTCTTCACACTCATCCACTCAGCATTTACTGGTAAGTGTGCTTCTGGTCCGAGTCCCCTAGCGCCCTCTCCAACCACACCGAGTACACAGCCTTTCCTCAGCACCTTCCTTGCCCCAGTCCTCCATTCCATTCTTTCACTACTTCTACCCAGTACCGCCCCAACAGCACCGTCTAACTTCCTGCTGCTTGTCTCTTGACCAGCCGTAAGCACCTCCGCCACTCCCAGTATCTCCAGTACCCTGTGGTCCTCCTAACCCGACATTCATCCCCGCACCCCAGGTCCACAGGCCCATTCCTCCACAGCTCTCCGAGGCCCCGTGCCCTCCTCCCTCCCCGGGTCTCCCAGACCCCTAGGCAGCGCCGCCCCCTCCTTTCTCACGGGCTCGGTTGTCACGGTAACCGTTGTCTCAGTGACGGTCTCACTCAGCCCGGCCCCTGCCTCGGCCATGGCTACGGCTGAGAGGGAAGAGGGAAGGGGAAGGAGACGCCTCTCCCTTTTTCTGTGTCTCAGATCTAAGAGAACCGGTGTCCGATTCAGAGTAGTAGCCAGGATCCTCCGCCTTTTTCCCCCTCCTCCTGGGCCTCCGCTTCCCCACCCCTGGGGATAACCTGTCCAACCCCACTTCCGGCTCTCTGCTTCCGGGTGTGACGCATCTGCAGTCCCCCTCCCTTTCCCTTCCCTGCACCAGATGCGTCAAAGCGCAGGCGTCGACTGATTAGTTCCGCCGTAATACGGAAGCGCGCAGGCGCCGCCCTCCGGAGACCAAATTTAGTGGAAGGGGCGTCACTGCGGGTAAGGGAGGAGGGGCTGGTCCTGGGTGGCCGACGCGCTCCCACCGGCGGTGAAGAGGGAGGGTAGGATCCGGTGTGAATCTGCGGACGTAGTAGCGAGTCGGGGAGGTGGGCGGTGCACCAACTTAAGTCGTCCTGTAGCCGTGACCCTGGGTGGGCGGCAAGGCGGGGAAACAGGGCGATAGGCTCGACCCTCTGTCGGCTTTCTTCCCTAAAGAGAATCGGGCCCTGGGCGCCGTTGGAGGAACTGGGTAAGGAGCAAGCCGCCTGGGTTCTCTCCCTGTGCTGTAGGATTTGAGCAGGACACTTAGTGCACCTTCGGCTGGGGAGTGTGCCAGGCTTTGAGGCTGCGATGCGCAAGACGCCCAGATCCTGCCTTTTAGCCCCCAGCCTAGAGGGGAAGACAGGCGAGCCCCGCAAATCATCAGTGAAACTGGATTTATATACTGTCATTCTCTGGGATGATGAATAGGTTTAAAGCAAAGTTTAAGTTACAGTATAGGTCATTTTATAAAAATTAAGCGCAAGTTTCTCATCAAAACAAATGGTAAAGCAAGAACCAGCAGAACAGACTTCTCTTTCTGAGGCAGAGAGCAGTTTACAAAGTCTTAAATGTGTGCGGAAGCAAATGCAGTTTTGTACTGCCGGGATGTGAGCTAGGTAGGGCATGGTGAAAACTGACAGGTTAGTAGTGGTTCCATAGAAGGCCTTGTGTGCTTTGCTAAGAAACCGTGGGGGCCAGCGCTGTGGCGCAGCGGGTTAAGCCCCAGCCTGCAGCATCGACACCCCATATGGGCTCCGATTCTAGTCCCGGCTGCTCTGCTCCCGTTCCAGCTCTCTGCTATGGCCTGGGAAAGCAGTGGAAGATGGCCCAAGTCCTTGGGCCCCTGCACCCACGTGGGAGACCTAGAAGCTCCTGGCTTCGGATCAGCTCAGCTCTGGCCTTTGTGGTCATTCGGGAGTGAACCAGTGAACCTCTCTCTCTCCCTTGTTTTGTAACTCTTTCAAGTAAATAAAAATAATTCTTAAAAAAAAAAAAACCCTCTTACTTCATCCTGTGTTGTGGGCCAGAGAGGCCTAAAGTAGGACTGAAACAAGAACAATCTGTTTGAGATTTCAGTAGTGGGTTAGGAAAGTCAGATTGGCAGCCAGTTCCCATGTACAGTGGGGCAAGACTCCCTGCCTGTGTTAAGTTGCTGTGGAAAGGGGGATGGGGGGGGCGCACAATGTACATTAAGGTCTCTGAATGCATATGGGGCACACAATTACAAGATAACTGTCACTGCATTTGTCTCTCAATCACCATGTAAACGAAGGAGCGAGAGGGTTTTTGGCCTAGTGGTTGAACCACCGGTTAGGATACCCACGTCTCTCATCAGAGTGGGTTCAGTGCTTGCCTCCAGCTTCTTGCTAATGCAGCCGCTGGAAGGCAGCAGTGATGGAGACCTGAATTGAGTTCCTGGCTCCTCTTTGGCCTTGGCACAGCCCACGCTGGCTGCAGGCATGTGGGGAGGAAACCAGCAGATAGAATACTGATTTCCCACAATCAGATCTTGAATGTTTTATATTGTGCCTGAGCTATGTATTTGTACTTCTTGCAAATTTTTGGTTCAAATTGAAAAAAGCAAGATTTAACATGTACTGCATAGCTCATTTGAAAAACCAGGGACAGGCACCTGGCCTAGAGGTTAAGACGTCCACATCCCATATCCAAGTGCTCAGGTTTGAGTCCTGCTCCAGTCCCCAGTCTAGTTTCTTGCCAGTGTGCACTCCTGGCAGCAGGTGATGTTTCAAGTAGTGGGGTCCCTGATACCCATTTGGAGGAACCAGACTGACTTCCTGGCTTGGGGCTTCAGCTAAGCCTGACCCTCAAATAAAGGAATAAATAAATTTAAAAAAAAGTTAAACCATATACATACAAACACGAAGACACTTCAAAAAGTCCTGGAAAATGGAATTTATTTTGGTGCAAAAACTTTTTGAAATTCAAACATAGTTTTTCGTAATACACATTTTCCATGAACTTTTTAGAAGTTCGTTCTTTGCATGGATTTTGAATTTTTCTTGCACCAAAACAGTCTTTCAATTCCATTTCCATGGACTTTATGAAGACATTTGTATTTCCATACATATAAAATACAGATGCATAATTTGGTTATCACTGTGGAGTGGGATTCTTTGTTTTACTTTTTTTCTACCTTTCTGTATAAGAATCTATGCCAATGAATAAATATTTATCTCAAGAGAAATTAAAAGTCTTCTATAGTAAGTACATACTGGTGTCCCTTAGTATCCCAGTTACCCAAATTTATATGCCAAATAATCTGGTTAAAGTTGCTGTTGAATCTCTCAATATCCAAATCCCAGCTTTTGTTTCCCTAAACTCAGGAACCAGACAGACAGGGAATACAAACTGCTTTTTTTTTTTTTTTTTAAAGATTATTTATTTGCTTGAAAGGCAGAGTTAAAGAGGGAGAGACAGATCTTCCATCTGCTGGTTCACTCCCAAATGGCGGTAGCTGAGCTGATCCAAAGCCAGGAGCCAGTAAGTTCTATGTGAAGAGGAGGGGCCCAAGCAGTTGGGCCACCTTCCACTGCTTTCTCAGGAGCATTTTCAGGGAGCTGGATCAGAAGTAGAACAGCCGGGACTCAAACCAGCTCCCACATGGGATGCTGGCACTGCAAACGGCAGCTTAACTTGCTACGTCACACTGCTGGCCCCACAATTGCTTTTATATTAGCCTAATTTCTGGCTCTAGTCTTTTGGTCTTTTCTTTTTTTGTGGCCATTTTCATACAAATGTAGCTCAGAAAACTTACTTAAATTCCTTTGGGATAAAACAAATTATAAATAACATGTAGAGTTCTTAGAAAAAATACAACTTTAATAAGTAAACTCAACTAGAGGTAGAAGTACTCTGGGGACAATGGTAGTCCCCACATGATGATTGAGCCAAACTTTGCAACTAATATCCAATGGACAAGGCATCTAAGAACCAATATGTTTTGCTTCTCAAGGAAGATTTGTAGAGTTGCCCAGAAAAAAATTTATGAATCTTCCTTCTCCTGGAACCTATGAAGAAAAAAAAGACTTGTTACACTGGATCAGAGGAGTTCCCAGCAATGTAAGATGAAATATTCCAACATTCAAAGGGCCTTTTATTTATGATACTGTGGAGACCTGGCTCCCCTAAATAAATCCTCCAACAACTGAAAATGCTGGGATTAAAAATAAATCAGATGAATTAAGACAAAGTATGCAAAGATGTCTTAGAACACAAAAGGCACTAGCCATGAAAGAAAAAAAGAATGTTTAACTGGACCTTATAAATATTAAAAACTGCTCATATAGGAAAGATATATGACCATAAATATTTTTAATCCACTGGTAAATTCCAAGAAAGGAAAGGCCATCTTCACACTGATAAATCCAGACAGGTAAGTTAAAACTGAAGCCCCTACTACTATGGTGTAAACATGTTTGATATATCTAATACACATTTAAAAAATAAAAAGAGATTTAAAATACAATTAAGGAACTGAGAAGTAAAAAATGATTGATGGGCCACCACCACTGTGGAGTAGCAAGTAAAGCTGCTGCCTGCAGAGCCGGCATCCCAGATGGGCGCCGCTTCGAGTCCCAGCTGCTCCACTTCCGATCCAGCTTTCTGCTATGGCAAAGGGAAAAAAAAAAGCAGTAGAAGGCCTAAGTACTTGGACTCCTGCACCTACGTGGGAGACAAGGAAGAGGCTCCTGGCTCCTGGCTTCGGATTGGCCCAGCTCTGGCTGTGGCAGCCATTTGGGGAGTGAACCAATGATGAAAGACTTCTCTCTGGCTCTGCCTCTCTATAACTCTGCCTTTTGAATAAATTTTTAGACAGGGTGAGGAAAATGGGAGGATGAGGAGAAAGTATAATAAACAATTAGAACTCCAGTATGTGAGAATTAAAAACATGGGAGAAAGACAGTATTAAATGAGATAATGGCTGGTAATTTTTCAAAGTTAATGAGAAATACATCAATTCTCATTTCAGAAAGTCCAATAAAATTCCAAACAGGATAAACAAAAGCGAGCTACATTTTGATATATCCTTTATTTTTTTTTTAAAAAAATTTGATTGAAAGGCAGATTTACAGAGAGGGAGATACAAGAGCAGGGGACTGGAAATGGGAGAGGGAGGAGGTGGGCTGGGAGTGGGGTGGGTATGGTGGGAAGAATCACTATATTCCTGCAGCTGTACTTACGAAATTTGTACTTATCAAATAAAAGATTTCCTTGGGGGGAAAAGAAATGAGGGAGAGACAGAGAGATCATCCACTGGTTCACTCCCCAAATGGCAGCAATACTGGGGCTGGACCAGGAGGAAGCCGGGAGTCAGGAGCTTCTTCCAGGTCTCCCACGTCGGTGCAGGGGCCCTAGAACTTGGGCCATCTTCTACTGCTTTCCCAGGCACATTCGCTGGGAGCGGGACTGGAAGTTCAGCAGTCAGGACATGAACCCAGGCTGGTGTCCCAGGCGGCAGCTTAACCTGCTCCTCCGCCACAGCGCCGGCCCACAACACTCTGATATATTCTAGTGGAACCAGAACACTAAATTCTGCAAACCATTCAGAAAGCTGCTGTTCTTTAAATCCCGTGTGACTAATTCTTACCATGGTCAAGCTACCTTGGCTGCAGTGAACAACTCCAGCCTTCTCTTGTTTTTTAATGAAAAAACAAAATAGTAAACGGTTGAGTTCACTGGATATACAAAAGACAAGTATTTCCTATTAGGGATGGAATCATGGAAGCAAGTGTGTGGTACAAGAATACGCCACTGAACATGTCAAGTGCGCAGACAGAGGGAGGGGAGCGGAGACCCACTTGCAGCTGGTGCAGGTGTAGAAGACGGTCTGCCCCTCGTCGGCTGAGCGCATCTGCCGGGTGTGGTACGCCATTCCCTCGTGGCCACAGCGAGAGCAGCGCCTGTCAACCTGGCCGGGAAGGGGTGCGTTAGGAGGCGGGGGCGCGCCCCTCACTTCCCAGGCTCTCCGCCTTCCTGGAAGTCGGTGCAACACTCTGCGGACCCCGCACTCGCCCCTCCGCTTCCTCTCCACGCCCCTCTCTGCAGCCAGCCCTCCATCTCAGTAACTCACCACGGGTCCCTGGAACTCGGGCCCTTCCTCCGCCGACGCAGGCACGGCTGCCCCCAGCTTGTGGAACACAAAGGAAGTCTGCACGACCTTCCCTTCGAAGTCTGCACGGGGCAGCAAGAAGCGGCTGTGGAGGCCAGCGGAGGGCGCGGACGGCCGCCTCGCCCCCGCCAGGCCTGCCTGCCTCCCTCAGGGTTCTTCCGCAGACCAGACGTCCAGGCGCCCGCTCTAAGGCTCTCCCTCCCCGGTCTCCAAACCGCGCACCGGCCCCCGCCCCTCACCCCGCACGTGGATGGAGAAGCCACAGCGAGTACAGACGACCGTATCCTGAGCTCCGGGCAGGGGCAGGACCGAGCCGCAATCCGGACAGAAATCCAAGTCCGACTGAAAGCTGGGGCAGGTGCTGGCGCCGTCCATGACGGACACGCGACGGAATGCTGGAAAGGGAACGACCAGTTCGTTAGGACACCAGAGAGCCGCACCCTCCCCACGCAGGGGGCCTCCCTTGTCTGCCCCAGCACCTAGGCACAGATAACCCGACCCCTCCTCCCACGTACGTCTCCGGCCTCGGCCACCAAGCAACCAGCCGGCGACGCGGAACCCCGCCAGGGCAGGCGAGAGGGGCCGGGTAGCGCGGGCTAGAGCGCCGGCCGTGCGCAAGCGGCGGGGCAGCGAGCGCGCCGAGGGCTAGAGCGCCGACGCGTCCGGGCGCACAATTTGCTGTGACGTCACTATTCCTCGCGCGCCACAGCGGGGGGTTTAGGGCGGGCAGACGGGCTGGGAGCGCGTTTTGCTGCGTCACTTGCCGTTTGGTCTCGTGGTGGTGGACCGGAAGGCGAGTCGCTGGCACTGCGCCTCCGGCTCCTTTTCCCACCTGGACACAGTAGTGGGGTATTCCTCTTCCTTGTCTCGCATCTGACTCACTGGCTTCCCACTCACGGGGGCCCCCAGAAAACAAGAGTTCGTTGGATTAGAAAAGTACAGGTCCCGCCGTTCCCAGCGGCCCTTTTTTCGCGGAGCAGAGGGTGTAGCTAAGCGTGCTGAGACTCGCTGGGCTCCGCTGGCCGGACGGGAAAGACGGAAGGGGCACGCCTGGGAGGGGGCCGAGGCCTTCGGAGGGGGTCATACACCACAGGGACCCTGGGCCGAGGACCTCGGAGGGCATCAGACACCACAGGGACCTGGCGTTAGGCCGGGGACGCCTGTAGGCAGGGGTTGCTAAGACCTGGGTCGAGTTTGGCTTTCAGTCTTCCACTTGGTCCCTCACCTCCAGTCGTGGTCATCCAGTCGGTGGTTAATTGAGTTGCTCCTTGTTTATAAAACATGAGAATAAGGATCTTTAGAAGACCTCACCATTTTCACGCGTCAGTAGCTTAGACTTGACCTGAAGAAACAGTTTCTATACGAGTTTCCTGGTTCTAGCCCTCCCACCACCATCCAGTTGTAGCTGTTGTGGGGCTCCTGCGTGTGCAAGCTCTGGAGCCATCTCTTTTCTAAAGGACAGATGTGAATTTACTTGGGAGAGAGGCACCTGTCTGTCTTTCCCTGCCATAAAGGAAAGACAACCCTAGTAAAAAGTTAGGAAATGCTGGGGAAATCACAAGCCCCTAATATCACTTAACCATGAAATCGGATGTCATTTTATTTATTTATTTTATTTTATTTTTTTTGACAGGCAGAGTGGACAGTGAGAGAGAGACAGAGAGAAAGGTCTTCCTTTTGCTGTTGGTTCACCCTCCAATGGCCGCCGCAGCCAGCGCGTTGTGGCCAGTGCACCACGCTGATCTGATGGCAGGAGCCAGGTACTTCTCCTGGTCTCCCATGGGGTGCAGGGCCCAAGCACTTGGGCCATCCTCCACTGCACTCCCTGGCCACAGCAGAGAGCTGGCCTGGAAGAGGGGCAACCGGGACAGAATCCAGCGACCTGACCGGGACTAAAACCCGGTGTGCTGACGCCGCAAGGCAGAGGATTAGCTTAGTGAGCCATGGCGCCGGCCATTTTATCTGTCTTAACAGATGGAAGTCTGTTGCTGAAGTTATGATGGTAGACACTTTATTCTCACTTCTCTGTCTCCTTTGAAAACAGGTACTGAAATTATCCCTACATCCTTCTCAGCTTTCCCTTATTAACTTGACATTCAAACCAACCAAAGCTCACATTACAGTCAATAAGTATTTTGAACTTACGTCAGGCTTTTAACAGAGGCAGGAGTTGCAAAGCTAAAATCTTGTGTTCCCTAAGCTCTGAAAGCACCAATGAATAATTGAGATACAATGAAAGTACACTAGGAGGTACAGAATGTGAAAGTCCAGGGCAGACTTATAAAACAAACATGTATATAAACTTCAAAGAGCACTACTAATGACAGATAAAATGTTGTGACAAAGAACAGGATGCTCAGATACATGATAATGATAATCAGCATTCAACAAATCATTAATTTTGAGAACTTAAGATCACAGACTCCAGTGTTAAGTACTGTGTTAGATGCTATGTAGAAAGAAAAGTAAGATGGTCATGTATTTTCAGATCTCAAAATAGATATACATAGGCAAATAAGAATGCATAAGATGTCAGTGAGGCCAAATATTTTACATCTGATCCTTTTGGTAATAAGCAGAGATTGTTGTAGATACAAATTTTACTCAAATCTTTTAGATACCTAAATTTCACTCCACATTCTGGAGTGCCTGCTTCAAGTCCTGGTTCCACTCATGGGTCCAACGTCCTACTAATGTGCATCCTGGGAAGCAACCCATGATGGCTCAAGTAATTGAGCCCTTGCCACCCACATGAGAGACCCACACTGATAAGAGTTCCTGACTCTGGGCTTGGACCTGGTCTAGACCTAGCTGTGGTGTGAACTAGTGAATGGGTGCTCACTCTCTGCCTCTCACGTGAATAAAATATAATAAAAAGTTGAGTGACATGTGAATACACATATCACAATGTAAATAATTTTCAAATGAATTATAGACATAAAATTGTTAGGCGTTTAGAGGAAGACAAATCTTTACGACAGAGCAGACTGAAAAGATTATAGAGTCAGGGGTTTGTGAAGGGTAGATGACTAGCATCTACTGAGAACATATATCAAGTATTATGTCAGTCTCTTCACATCGAATTCATATTTCTTCTTCATAATCCTAGAGGCAGGTTTTTGTCTTATCTCCACTTTATAGGTGAGGAAACTGGCTTAAAGAAAAGTTATTTACCCTGAGTTGTACACCTAGGAAGAGGTGGAATTAGAAGTAGCCCTGTCAGACTCTGAAGCCTAAGCTTTTACCCATAATGGTATAAACGGCACAGTGATAAAATGGCAGATATCCTCAGTGCCTTAAATACAACCTCATAGTGAACTCAAATTAGACTAGGGGTGATACATAAAAGTTGGTAGTTTTCATGGATGTTGTCATCTGCTTGCTCTACAAACAAACTCAGAGTAACCACACATTTCCATCCTCAGGGGTTCAACAGGGAATGTGCTCATAATGGATTTAGTGTGAAGGATGATGGGCAGTGTGAGACAGGCAAGCAGATGGGTAGGCAATGACACAGAACAGAATTTCAGAATAAGGAGTTGAAGTGCAGAGATGCTATATATGCTGATAGAGGCAGAGAGAGCCCGGAACATGAAACTGCGTGAAAAGAATGAACTGACAAACCCAGGGGTTAGAATTGTCTCAGAAGACAGAGGAGGTTGGAGAACTGACCCACTTGACAAAAATGGGCTTTGGCAACGTCTCACCAAGGAGGAGCCTGTCTCTTCCCTCTACCAAACCCCATTGCAAGATTCAGAATGGTTCACACTGAGTCCACAGGAGAAGTATGTTTTTGTTCATATGGAAGGAAAAATTCTTTCTAAAAAAGATTTTTAAACACTTTTGGGTGTACATGTAATACTTGTAAATTTTTATGGCATACTTCATATGTGTACAGCATAAACTAATAACAGCACACAATTAGAATTTCCATTTCCTTATCTTTTTTATTCTTTTCTTATTAAAAGAACATTTTTTATTTTCTGCCATAGGAATGCAGTGGGGAAAGGACCTTGTTATAGTCTTGTCCGTCAGCAGATTTTCTCTTTGTAAGGGAAATAGCCTTGGTCTTGGCCAAAACAATTGGGTTCTATGACTCAGACAACATGTAAACACATGTATTGTGACAGCTCCCACATTCTCATCTACCCCTTGTTTTTTATCTTCCAGATTGGCCTGGGCGAAATCGTCTAAGGACCCTAGGGTTGCTGTAGGTCAACAGTCTCCACTGGAGAAAAAGATCTCGGTAAATACATGACTTTCACATCATACAGTTTAGGTAACTACTCAGAAGGAACCATAAGTCTGAAATCCTTCTGCCCAAGTGACACTCTCACGTTGATATCTACACTGGCAAATGTTTGCCAGCTGTAGCCACAGCTGCAATATATATATATATATATATATATATATATATATATATATATATAATTTTGAAAACTCCCAACACTTTATTTTTAAAACTGGTTGCTAATTTAGTGTGGTAGACTCATAGGTTTGCCTGGGAGTGATGGGAGTAAAATCCAATTATTGTGCTAGTAGATGTCTTTTATTGATGTCAGTAGAAAAGATAGGCTACTGTTTAAATGTGTTGAAAACGATGAATATATTATAAAATTTTGAACCTCATTTTTAAAGAACCTAGGTGGTGTGCATACAACAGCAGCGAGACAATTGATAATTCAGAAGCATCGAGAAGAATATGAAATACTCTGCAGGGAGCAAGCTCTTTCTCTTGACTACTGGCTTGCTAAAGCAGAGTCTTATTATAATAAAAGGATAATGACCATGATGAAAGAAGAAGGGACAGACAAGGAAATGAAGAAGGAAACGGAGGAGACCATAACTCAAAGCATAGAGGGGCAAAAATGTTACTATTTGGTACCTGAGAGAGAGTTGAAACACATGGAAAGGCACATACATCAAATAAGCCAGGCCAGAGGACTTAAAAAGAAAACAGTTAGGCAACAACCGCGACCCCCTGATAAAATCACATTACCGAAAATTGTGCCAGAAGAACACAGCATGCAAAGTGCACAAAGAAGAAGAAAGGTAAAAGAAAGGGAACAGATGCAAATAAAAAATCACCAGGAACGCATGATTCGAGGGAGAGAACTCATAGAGCAAAAACTCAAGGAAAGAATCTTGAGGAAATGTCAGAACCAGCTACTTAAACGTGAGAAGTGTGAGAGAGTAAAGAAAGAGATTAAAGAGTTTGAAAGAGTTGTTGCATATCCACTTTTCCAGCCAGACAGCAGAAGTCAGATTAAAGTGAATATTCTTATGGAAAAGTCTCTGAATAGAGAGATAGCAAGTGCAATTGTAAAACCAGCTGAAAGAAAATTCTTGGCTGTGCCACCCTTCTTGAGAAGTCAAATAGGAAAAATAAAATATTAGTGATGGAATCCTGAATCTTGAAAGAATCTTTTTCTTTTTAATAGTTATTTTACTAGAAGTTCGGTGAAAATTCCCATTTGTGTCAGACACAGAAGTGTAAGATAGTTCTGAACTTGAAATTTGCTTAACTATTTTTAGTTGCCTTGTGTTTGTTCAAGTTGCTTACCCCTTTCCATATTGAGTTTCCTCATTTATGAAATGGAAATAATGATATTTCATTGCATAATACTTAGGGGAAGATTATGATTTTTGTGAAGCATTAGTGTGCATTAATTGCTAAATAAATGTTAGTTTCCCAACTTGAGAAGCCTTAGCTTGGGCAATGCCTTTCTCATTCCTCCTGCTCCTAACTTTCCAGTTGATATAATTGCTAAGGTTCAATATGTGGTCTTTAATTTCTCTTTGATTCCTTCATCAGAAAACTGTTAACCAAGCCCTAAAAATCTAACTTTCACTGTACCATTTAATTATATGAGAAACTTAATTTTGAGGACTTCCTATAAACCAGGCATTATATTAGTTACTGGGAATGAATACAGAGAAGTTCCTGCAATGAGTAATTTAAAACTAATGGCACAAATGACTCTTTAAGCATTTAACATAATGTAGTAAAGATTGTGATTGAGGTGTGTGTGGGGTACTGCACAAAGGAAGGATAGTAACATCACCCAGGAGGGCAAGCAGAAAGGAAAACAGGTCAGAGAAGGTAGTGTAACAGTCTCATGTTTTCTCCAGCTCTGCATCTTGTCACTTTTTTTTTTTATTTTTAAGATTTATTTTGTTTATTTGAGAGCAAAGTGACAGGGAAGGAGAAACAGATCTTCCATCTGCTGGTTCATTCCCAAAGCGTTCTCAATGGCTGGGGCTGGGCCAGGTGGGAGCCAGGAGTCTGGACTCCATCTGAGTTTCCCACACAGGTGGTAGGGTCTAAGTATTTAGAGCATCTTTCACTGCCTTCCCAGGTGTAACAGCAGGGAGCTGGATTAGAAGTGGAGCAGCCAGGACTCGAACCAGTGCTCTGATATGGGATGCAAGTGTCACAATCAGTGGTTTAATCTGCTGTGCTACAATGCTGGCCCCATATTTTGTCACTTTGTATCATACACTTAAAACAAGACCTTCCTACATTTGGACCCATTCAAGGTTGACCCAACTCAGCTTCTTTCAAACACATGCCTCCAATACTATACTTATTGATAAGTCAGAAAGCACAATTTTGAATTTAGTAATAATTTTAATCACCAAATAGAATGTGATTTATTGTTTCCTTGTCAGTTCATTATCTTCCTAGATACCAGAAAGTTGTGAAAGTAAGGATTCATAGTTGGTTAGTACAGAATAGAGAAATAGAAACTGGATGCCTTAAGGATTGTTATACTTGGGGCTGGTGCTGTGGCGTAGTGGGTAAAGCTGCCACCTTCAGTGCCAGCATCCCATATGGGTGCCAGTTTGAGACCCGGCTGCTCCACTTCCGATCCAGCTCTCTGCTATGGCCTGGAAAGCAGTAGAAGATGGCCCAAGTACTTGGGCCCCTGCACCCACATAGGAGACCCAGAGGGAGCTCCTGGCTTCAGATCGGCATAGCTCCGGCCATTGTGGTCATCTGGGGGGAATGAACCAGCGGATGGAAGGCCTCTCTCTCTCTCTGCTTCTCCTCTCTCCGTGTAACTGTGACTTTCAAGTAAAATAAATAAACCTTAAAAAACAAAAAAAGAATTGTTATACTTAAGTTGTGATGAATTTTTTTAAAAGATTCATTGTATTTATTTGAAAGGCAGAATTACAGAGAGAGAGGGAGAGAGAGACAGACAGGGGTCTTCCAGCTGCTGGTTCACTCTTCAGATGGCCACAATGGCCGGTGCCAGGAGCCGGGAGCTTCCTTTTGATCCTGCACATGTGTTCAGGGGCCCAAGGACTTGGGCCATCTTCTGCTGCTTTCTCAGGAGCATTAGCTGATCTGGTGTATGAGCCTGTGCCCCATTCCTTGGAACTGTTTGTAGCTCATTCTTTATGTACACTCATTTGCACTGTCTATCCTCTGGTCTTCCATTACTGTGTCCTGATTTTAGATTCTTTACTTTCCATAAAAGTGGATCATGAAAATGCAAGAGTCAGAAGACTTAGAAATACAAAATAGGGTATTTACAAACCTTTTGAGTTAAATGGAACTGAAAAGTCATCTAATAAATGCCTATTAATAGTTGTTTATCATTAATATTTTCAGTCCTGGACACATATGGTGAGTTTGCTTGCCCACCCTCCTCCAAATCTAGCATATAAGTAAGATGATAATGGGCAATTCTACATCTAATATGGATATGAATGAAAATCTGTGGTTAAAGGGTTCACTTTTGTATGTTCTTTCTTGCCTCTGTCTCTTTCTCTGATTAGTAAAACTTTCCTCACTTTGGAGAACTGCTCCCAGATCCCTTTGGCTACAATAATTGGCATCATTTAACCATATAATATAAGAAAGATAATATCTGTGTATGTTACCAGTACATTTCAGAAAAGCAGAGAAAATTGTTGGTTAGATTCTTACCTCAGATTTTTCTGTCAATATGAGAGAATTTGTTTAAAAATTCATTTGTAACTTAGTCAAGAAATATAAATTTCCCTGGGAACTCCAACCTGGTCTCCCACATGAGTGGCAGGAGACCAATTCGAGTCATCTGCTGCTGCTGTCCCATGTCCATTAGCAGGGTGGTTGATCAGATGTGGGGTAGTGGGTACTCTGATATAGGTTATAAGTGTCACAAGTGGTGGCTTAACCAGCTGTACCACAACACCCATTCCCCTTCACCTATTTTTAAGTTGTGTTTTAAAATTTTGGTTATAAGAGTTCTTTATATATTCTAAAAGCAAGTCTCGTATCAGATATTTGATTCATAAATATTTTCTCCCTTTCCATGGATTGTATTCAGTTTCTTGATAGTATCTTCAAGAGCACAAGTTTTTAATTTTGATGAAGCTCAATTTATCTCCATTTTCTTTTGCTACTTTTTGTGTCACATCTAAAATTCCATTGCCAAATCCAAGTTCATGAAAATTTACCCCTGTGTTTTCTTGCTAAGAATCTTACAGTTTTAAAGCCGGCACTCAACAGGCTAATCCTCCGCCTAGCGGCGCCGGCACACCGGATTCTAGTCTAGTCCCGGTCGGGGCGCCGGATTCTGTCCCGGTTGCCCCCCTTCCAGGCCAGCCTTCTGCTATGGCCCGGGAGTGCAATGGAGGATGGCCCAAGTGCTTGGGCCCTGCACCCCATGGGAGACCAGGAGGAAGCACCTGGCTCCTGCCTTTGGATCAGCGCGGTGCGCTGGCCGTAGCGCGCGGGCCGCGGCGGCCATTGGAGGGTGAACCAACGGCAAAGGAAGACCTTTCTCTCTGTCTCTCTCTCTCACTGTCCACTCTGCCTGTCCAAAAAAAAAAAAAAAAAAAAAAAATCTTACAGTTTTAGCACTTACAATTAGGAGTTTCTTCCATGTGGAGATAAATTTTTATATTATGTGAGACAAGGGTCTGAACTAGTTTCTTAGAACTGCTTTAACAAATTACTACCAATTTGACGGCATTTTCACTCACAATTCTGGAGGCCAGAAGTTTGAAATCAAGGTGTTGTAACCAGTGTTGTTTCCTTCAGAGTCTGAGGGAGAATTCATTCCATGGTTCTTTCCTAGCTTCCGGTGGTTGTTGGCAACTGGCAGCATTCTTTGACTTGTACATCACTGCACTCTCTGCCTTCATCTTCACGTCACCTTTTCTGTGTCTCTTCTGTGTGTCTGTCTCAGATCTTCCTCTCCTTTCTTTTAGGGCCTACTCTAAATCCAGGATGATGTCATCTTGAGAACC